TGAGAAATGACTTGGTCAAGATGTAAAAGTTTATAAGTGAGAGAGCTGAGGCCAAAACCAAATGCTCACTCCCACACACAAGGGACTGGGGGTCTTGCAGCTATTTTCTGTGTTCCAGACGCATCATGGGCTTTGTGAGCCGGAGCCAGGAACGCCGGCTGCTGAAAAGGATGGTCTCTGGAACGTTTCTGCTACGTTTCAGTGAAACATCGGAAGGAGGCATTACCTGCTCCTGGGTGGAACACCAGGATGATGGTCAGCTGCTCTGCCCTGCCATTCCCATACCTTTTCCTTTCTGTCTAGCCTGCCTTTTGCCCTTCTGCCTGCTGTTGGCTTCCTGGGTTCTTTCCTGAATCCTCTAGCAGCTTTGGGGCTGGGAAGCCAGGGAGAGAATCTCCTAGGTAAGCCTCTTCTCTCTAGCCAGCTTCTTCTGTGTTCACCTTTCAGATAGGGTGCTTATCTACTCTGTGCAGCCCTACACCAAGGAGGTGTTGCAGTCACTCCCACTGACTGAAATCATCCGCCATTATCAGCTGCTTGCTGAGGAGAACATACCTGAGAACCCCCTGCGCTTCCTCTATCCACGAATCCCCCGCGATGAGGCTTTTGGGCGCTACTACCAGGAAAAAGGTGGGAATAATTAACATATTTTGTTACTAGATTAGAAGGATTCTCAGACATCCATAAGTCCCGTTCCCTCCTTTCAAACACAGGAAAACTAATATCCACAGCAGCTAAGGGATTTATCCATGGTGATGCTAGTCAGGGGGATAAAATTGTTAGGATCTTCTGTACTTGGGGAACCAGTGAGCTGTGTGTCCAATATGCTGACCTCCTCCACCTCCTGTGTATGTGCCCACAGTTAATCTCCAGGAGCGGAGGAAATACCTGAAACGTAGGCTCATTGTGGTCTCTAACAGGTGAGATATGAATTCTTCACCCATCCTCCAGAATTTCCTTGGCTGATATAGTGACTTTAATCTGCAAAATTCCAGTCCCTCCAGCCTTCTCTGCCTACTGACCCAGTCTCTACAGCCCTCTTATTCCCCGCTACCCATTCTTCTCAACTCTCTCCTTTCTCATATTTTCTTGCTGCCACCCTTAGGTTATCTTCGAAAAGCTTCCTTGTTAACAGTAATCATAATCACTGGTATAAATGAGGACTTACCTGGTGCCAACCTTAGTACTAGTTTTTCTAAAAACATTTGTTCATGTATTTTTTTTTATATATTTATTTTTTAGCGGACACAACATCTTAGTTTGTATGTGGTGCTGAGGATCGAACCCGGGCCGCACGCATGCTAGGCGAGCCCGCTACCACTTGAGCCACATCCCTAGCCCCTGTTCATTTAATTTTTATGAGGACCCATCAGAATAGGTAACAATAATGGTCATAGTCACTAAAAGTTTAAGACAGGGATGTTGGCACACGCCTGTAATCCCGGTCACTCAGGAGGCTGAGGCAGGAAGGTCACAAGTTTGAGCCCAGTCTTAGCAACTTAATGAAGCCTTGTCTTAAAATTAAAAAAAATCTTAAAAGGGCTGGGGATGTAGCTCAGCAGTAAAGAGCCCTTGAGTTTAATCCCCAGTACCAGACAAACAAACAAGAGTTTATTATGGGCAGGCACTGGACTAAATGCCTTATGTTCATTTTCTCATTTTGTTCGATCTTCACAGTTGTTCTGTGAAGTAGTCACAATTGTTTTCAGCTGAGGAAACTCAGGTTTAGTTTGGTGAAATGACATACCTAGGGAACACACCTGATAAATGATCCAGGACTGTCGGATTCCAAAGTTCTGCTTTTGAAAAATAATTTTTTATTTTTAGTTGACACATATGTTTGTATGTATTTTATACATGTTTATATTTTATACATATATTTGTATATATAAATATGCATATTTATTTTATACATATTTTGCCCAAAGTGACAGGATTTCATTCTTTTTATGAATGAATAATAATCCATTGTATATATGTATGTATGTATGTGTATATGTGTGAATATAAATTATATGCTTATTACATATATCATATATGTTATGTTACTTATATATTTTTTTCATCAGTCAGTGAAGCCTCCATTGAATCCATATTTTGGCTATTGTGAATACTGCTCAGTAAATATGGGAGTATAGGTATCTTTTTGATATACTTGATTTTATTTCCTTTGGATATATACCAAGTAGTCAGATATCTGGTCATATGATAGTTCTTTTTTTAGTTTTTTGAGGAACCTCAGTACTATTCAAGGGTATGAAGCCATTAGTAATAGCTATACTAATTTATATTCCCACAAACAGTGTGATAAATGATACATCCTTTCCAGTTATTTTGCCCTGTTTTGCCTTAAGACCTGGGAACTGCCCCTAGAACTTTTCCTTTTGTCATATATATTTTGTCATATATTTGTTATTTTATGTCTTTTTAATTAAATTATTCTAACTGGAAGGTAAGATAGTGTCCCACTGTGGGGTTTGGGGAGGTTTTTGTTTGTTAGTTTTGTTTTGTTTGCAGTACTAGGAATTGAACCCAGGGCCTCACATGCTAAGCAAGTGCTCTAACACTGGGCTACATCCCTAGCACTTTTTATATTTTATTTTGAGGCAGGGTCTTGCTGAGTTTCCCAGATTGGCCTCAAACATGCTATCCTCCTGCCTCGACCTCCTGATGATAGCTGAGAATACAG